ATTTATTTATTAAGTTTAAAGCTTCAAAAATAGTGTCGATCGACATATCTATGAAAACTTGAAAATCTTGGAAATTGATGGCCTAAAAATACGTCACAAAATAAGCTATTTCTAAAACTTGCGATCCATTGTTTTCTTATATCCATGCATCTTGATGTGGAAATGATCAATTTGAAGATATTTGAGCATCAAAACAACCTCTTAAATTTGTGAAGGCTCAAATTTGATTGTTTAGAGCCTCGGCTCTATATAAACTTTTTTTTTCCCATGTTTTGAACCTCCTCATTTTGAATGTTTAAAAGGGTGTGGCGTTAAAAACGAACCACATGGCAATCCAGCGTTCGAAACTTCGTGATGCTTTAAAAGGAGTTCATACTTGCTCTTGGGTACAGTGTCGTGAAGAAGTGACAGAGCGCACTGATGCTATACTTGGGTACAAGGTTGTGAAAAATGGGGAGAGAGATATTTGATAACTTAGGGTTTGCCTTCAAATTCTTGTTGCCATAGACCCTGACCGTTGTTTTCTTCATTCTTTGGCAGAATTCTCTGGGCCGGTGTTCTTCATTCTTTGGCAGAATTCTCTGGGCCGGTGATCTCACATGGTGAAGCACCACCATAAACGAGGAGCTTTTAGCAGAAATGGGGTTGGAGCACGCGCAAATGCTTCCCACCACTTCTCAGAATTTCACAACAATGGATATGCATGTTTCTGACATCTGCGCGATTCGGTTTGCGTTTCTTTGGTATTAACACTAGGGTCTTGGTTATCTCCCTCTTGCCCCCAAATCCATGAAATCTAGGGCATTATACAGTCTTGCCTTGAGCTCAATCCCTGTTATTTTCGATGAGAATCCCCTATTTATGATTTCAAATTCTTCGTCTTTGGTGGTTCTTTCTCTTGTTTTTCTCTTCATTGATATTCCCCAATTTTGCTTACAAGTTCAAAATTTTCAGCCCAAAGTTTTGATAGTATGACATGACTTCGTGATTAGGTCGGCTTAACTTCAATGCTTGGGGCTACATTTCTCACTTTTGAGCCTTGAAAATCCATGCATATGGCCTAACATCAACCAAAAAAAGATGTTCCCTATTTTCTGATATTATGAATCACCCGGTTATTATTTTCTGATATTTATGGATCATCGGGTTTGCTTTCGAAAAGTAGTTAAATTCTGGAGCTGGCTCCACTTGGAGTCGGCCTACTCGGACTTGCCATGCTGACCCCTAGTACAGGGGCACAACTTGGGCATATCAAAAAAAAAAAATCAAATTCATGTACCAAAATTATGTATGTAATTTATATTTGTTTACATTCATTTGTGAGTTTTTATTCTCATATATTCTATTGTTGTATTTTCCCCTTTTTCTTAGATTTTCTTGCATTGTCTCCAACCATAAATCATTTCTTTCTAAACCCATGTTTTGTATACTTTTTCCAGCTCATTTGGTTGTTTTTGGTTTTGTTTCACTTTTAAAAAAATTTATCTATTAGTGGTTTTCTGGCTTGCAATGAATCTCATCAGCTTCTACATCGAATTCTTGATCAAAGTTAGCTCGTTATTTTTTTTAGGGGTCATCATGTGTGCCTTTTATGGGCCAGAATATAGGACCAATATTAGTATTCCTTCCACATGGGAATGATGTTTCATCACTAAGACATGAATTCAATTGTTGGCAATTTGGGTAAATATACATAAATGACCCGAGTCAGCTCGGGTTTGGTAACTAATGATTCTGGAGGGAGTCATCTACCCCGAGCCTTGGGTCCCTGTTGTTATTTTCCCATAAATTTTCTCAAGTGTGGCTCTGACTTGAATTCTCTGACCGATTCCAGTTCCAGGCCCTAGCAAGTTCGAGCCATGTGTATTAAGATCCGGCATTTTCATACTGTTCTAACCAGCATAATGATTAATGGAGCAATGAATAGCCCCCTTGACTTCACATTAGATACGCACTCATATTTGGCATGCATTCATGATTGACTTAGATGATACATTTTTATTTTTGTATCTCCACAATTATTTCAAATAAATGCAAACTTTGAGAACTAGATCGTATTTTAGTTGGCACTGATGGAATGTGTTGGTCCCAATGCAATGGATTAGTGGGGATGCTGAGAGAGCATTAGACATGCCCAAAAGGGCATGTTTGGGCATGGGCCAAAGAATCAAACACCATTAGAACAAAGGTTGTGCTGTAAGATTGAACAGACTCAACATTCACCTTGTATAGTACATAATGCCACCATCAAAGCCATTAGTTTTCAAGTTGCATAGAATATTACAACATAGCAAATATTTAGAATAGTGCATTGCATGTGTGAGTGTTTGTGTCTGGAAAGAGGTCTACTGTCTTTCTCCTTGCTAGTTAAGAAAATTGTATGTGTGCTTCTGTGAGCAGGTGCATATATGTGTTTGTGTGTGTGCGCACAGCGTGCAGTGTAAAAGAATTCATATGGGCAATTGTTTGTATATGTTAAGGATGGATAATCCACTTAACAACAACCTCATCATGCACGCAAGTGATATGTAACATTCATGGCAATGAACTTGACGGATTCGAGAAATTAGACTCGTGAATCCTTCTTAAGGATCAGACTCTCATCAGTCAATACATAACGTTAGCTTAATTGATGTTCAATGCATTGCTTCCCTTAGCACATATAAATGAACAAAAATTCGGCCGCCTTGCCGCCTAGGTAGGCGGTGGTGTCTGGGCGGGCATGCTTAACGCAGGTGCCTAGGCAGTCAAGGTGGGTGTCTAGGCGGTCTGAGCGCCCACCTAGCGACATCCCTTAAAAAAACTTAAAACTTCAAATCCACCCAAACAAAAATAAGGCCTGGTATTGCCCTTCTCTCACTTTCTCTCGTTCTCTCTACATATGAGAAGAAGAAGAAGAAGAACATGGACTCTAAGTGTTCGATGTGTGGCCTCTCTCTCTTTCTTACACTCACACACAAAGATGCATATGGACCCATATGCTCCCTCTTTACATGTAAGAAGAAAAAAAAGAAAGAGAAGAGGGTGATCTTTAAGAATTTTATACGATACCTCACACACACACATACATGCGCATGCCCACGCGCACAATAAACACATACATACACACGTTCACAGAACACACACACAAAACTACAGCCCCTACCTCAACCCCTTCCCTTAGCGCTACCTTTTTGTCTAGGTGCCTGCCTAGGCAGCTGCATCCACCTTCTTGAACATTGGCACAGATTAAGCCCATCACAATATTTTCATTTCAAATGTGAGCATCTACTGGGTGAAAGAGAGGTTGAAGAGTAGACTTCGCATCGTCTATGTCTTCCAATCCCTCCCACCATTCTTGTTCCCCTTTAATTATTCTTAGACCGTTTTTCTTCTCTCACACCTGCAGGTAGCTTCTTCAAATTATGACAATCAGTTACCTGGATAACTTCCAATGAAGACCAGGCCCCGACACTCCCACCAACACTCATCAGCGAATGCAAACTTGTGAGGTTCAAGTCCCTTAATTTTGGAAGTCTGCTGTCCTCTATCGCTCCAGTGATTATCTCTTCTATGCTGTTGCATGTAATTATCTGAATCAATTCCAAGTTTTGGAGACGTGACATCGCAACTGATGGAAAGACATTAATCAATCTGTCACAGCAAATTATTGCAACGCGTCTGAGATTATTATGATGGCAAGCAATTGGAACATCGAAGCTCCTTATGTTCTTCAGCATTGGCAACTCGTACAGCTCCAACCACTCTAAGCTGGGTCCCCTACCTATATCAAGCCACGTCAAATCTAGACACCCATCAATGTACAGAGTTTTCAAGGATGTCATAGCTGATATGTGATAAAAATTTGTCAATCCATGGTATTTGCATAGGTATAATTTTCTGAGATGTGAAAACATTGTTTCTACGACAGGCATGTTAAGAAATTTGACGTCAAGAATGATGAATGTGCCAAGTGACTTTAAGCGTTTCAAGCCCTCCAACTCCTCCCATTTTGCACCACCCATTTCCATTTCCAAAATGTATCGACTCTCATACATGTCAAGCTCTTCTAAGTTAGTTAGCCTTGATATTAACCCATACTCAATTTCTTCAAGGTCACTAGTATAGCTCAGGTCAAGGTGCCTCAAGTTGACCAATTCTCCCATTTTTTGAGGCAATCTTGTGATACCTGTGCCCCTTAAGTTCAAAACTTGGAGTTGCTTGAGCTTCCCTAGGGGTGGAATGTCTTCTAGGTTTTTGCAATCTCTCAAAGAAAGGAACGGAGATTACTCAAGTTTGATAAGGATGGAGGTAGTGAGCATAGTTTTGTGAAACTGAGATTGAGCACCTGGAGGGCCTCCATACTTTCAAGAAGCCATCGGGAATGTTCTCCAAAGTTTGGTTTCCTTAAAGTAGCAATGTTTTGAGTCTTGAACAAAAAGGGTTATTCGGAAGTCTCTTTATTTCATTCCCCAATGATGATATACGATCAACTTCTATCCAGTCTTTCCACCATTGGTGCTTCCTGCAGTCCCAAACCAGCTTTTACCAAAAACTTGCCAAAATCTCTGGAAGAGGAACTAATCCATAGTGCTACATCACGGATCAAATCATGAAGCTTCACTTTAGTATCATCACTAGGGATCTTGTCTAGCATGCATGACTCTATCAGCTTTTCAATTCGATCATGCCCTTTGTTGCTTGCATATTCTAGACTGTCTACTCTACCTATGAGCCCCTCGCATATCCAATACTGTACCAACTCATCCTTTTCAATTTCATAGTCTCCGGGGAAGAGTGAACAATATAAGAAGCATGATTTGATGTTGTCACGCTCCAACCGTTCATAACTATATTTTAAAGATGAGAAGACTTGGCGTTCCATACCTTCTATCTCTGGTGATGCCTCATGCAAGGCTCTTAATGCATTTTCCCACACCTGAACACTACTCTTCCCCTTCGTTGCACAACCGACTGTGATAATGGCAAGTGGAAGTCCACTGCACTCCCCGACAATCTCATGTGCACAGGGTTCTATGTTTGGCAAATCTACGACCTCTCGTGCTTTATGACGAAACAAGTCCCATGCATCACCCTTTTGTAAAACATCCAATTTTATAATTTTATCAGTCTCCATCAGATTGCATATTGCTAACTGTCGGGTGGTAATTATGATCTTGCACCTATTTTGGGCATTTGGTCGAGGGACTCTTATCATATCTATATCCAACAAATCCCACATATCATCTAAGATGAGCATGAATCTTTGTCGATTTAAACTCACAAACAATATCTCAGCAACCGTCTCTTCATCATCCACATTTAATTCCAATCCTATTTGTCGTGCAATGGAATTCTGTATTTTTGCGATGTTAAAATCTCTAGATACAGTGACCCATAGTATTTTATTGAATTCCCGAGTTCCCAAGAGACAATTGTTAACATGGTGCATGAGCGTGGTCTTTCCCACTGCACCCATTCCATGAACAGCAATCATACGCAATTCGTCATTGTTTAAGCAGTTTAGTATTTCAGTCAAATTTTTCTTGAATGTGTACTGACCTGTAATGGTTCTTGCAGGCATCTCCCTCCCTAGCGATGGTGGTGCAGCCATGGTCCATTGAACAGAATCGGCTACATCGATGTGGGCAGTGACTCTTATACGTTTCTTTGCCGCACGCCTGCTGAGCTTATAGTTGGAGGGGCAATTAGGACACAACCCTCCAAAGCAACACTTGCTATCATTGTATCTCGACGTTTCTTTGCCGCACGCCTGCCGAGCTTATAGTTGGAGGGGCAATTAGGACACAACCCGCCAAAGCAACACTTGCTATCATTGTATCTCGCAACCACTTGGTCTGCTTGGAGACCCAAATCTTGTGCTCTTTGGAACCACCGCCTCCTTTGTCAGCACCTTCCCATTAATCTTTTCCACTTCAACTCCAGCCATGAAATCAGCCCTTTTGTCCTTGAGTCGGCACGTCTCCACTTCCAGATCACAAACCTTTTCTTTCGACTTAACAAGATACCCGATGTGCCGAGAAACCGGAACCAATAAAATTTTCACAATTTTGACAAGGGGATTAATGATGACAGACATCATTAGAATGCACTTCAGGTTTATCCAGAGAAGATGGTCAAGGTTTTGTAGGCTTAGGTGGGCAGCTCAAAAAACCGACGTTGAAGGCAGGGAAATGGTTCAAGAACTCCAGAAAAGATGGTCAAGGTTTAGTAGGCTTAGGTGGGCAGCTCAAAAACCCAAGGTTGAAGGCAGGGAAATGGTTCAAGAAATTCAATGAGAAAGACATGTCTTCACAAGAGGCCATTGACCTGATACTACAATGGTTGAAACTTGAAAGTAGGAAATCATTTCAGTTTGGCCTGCAAGGAAATTTAGGTCACTATTAAAAGAAGTTTGGGGAAGTTTTTGAGGGCCGCTTTCACATGCCATCTCTTTATTGGAAAAAGTTTATCTAAGGTGTCATAAAAAAAACCCACTGGAAAACTGGAAATTCCTCAAATCGTTCATCTCGACCTTGAGATTCATTGACATGAAAAAAAAAGAAGAAGAGATTTTTAGTCCTAAAAATAGTTATCTTTTAAGACATTATTTGGACTGTCCATTTTTATAATTTCAAGTGTTTATAATTCTGTTTGATCGTCACCATTTTTGAAACTTTAAATTTCATAATTGAGGGCAACAATATATTTTCATATCATTGCAAAGCTTTACAACACCTGTATTTTTTATGTAGTTTGGAGGTACACTTTATTTCAATAGTATAAAGTTGACACCTTATATAAACTTCACCCCTCTTTTATTTTTGTCAATGGTTGCCATCACATGCCATATCACATTTGACTTTGAGAATCAGATGGTGGGTGGTCGCTGAAGAGACGTGGAGGGTTGCTTCCATACTACATGATATGCTGGCATTATCAGTTATATATTGCTAGTGGTAGTTCAAAGTATGAATACTGACTTAGCCGAAACAAAAAAGAGAGAGAGAGCTAAGTATTCTTAATAGGTGAGGGGTATAGAAGGGAAGCTCTTTTTATTAAAATATGGGTGCATGGATCATTGTTGACTGGCTTAATGAGAATGAGATTGTATACAATGAGACTGTTTACTTTGATACAAGGTGGTCATAATTACTTACAATCATTAGATGTGAAGTTTGATAGTTTTGAGTCACAAAGTTTGAGAAAATTTCTTTTGAACATTGAGCTTGGTCGATGGAATAATTGTAGCCATTCAATTTCACATTCAATGGTCAAGATTAATGTCTAATTTTGTATCAAAGATAAATGGTCGCATTTTATATTTTCCCAATGAGAATACTATCAATTGAATGAAGACGTCTGAGGGAGCATAGAATTACCAATGTTATTTTTGGTTATCATGTATATAGAAAGTAACAATATTTATATATTGAAAGTGGTAGTTCAAACTATGAATACTGACTTACCAAAACAATAAAAATTTCAAAGTATATATATATATATATATATATATATATATAGATAGACAGAGAGAGAGAGAGAGAGAGAC